CCCTATCCCAGCTGGACCCAGGACACCAAACTATTTAGAGTGAACTTTTTCTCCTGCTTGGCAATCCAAAACCCCTAGTCACTGCTGCTCAGCATGGTCATTCTGAATAAATGACTAATGAATTGAAATCGTGTGGCATGTTTTGATTTTTCAAAGTTTTTCTGCCTACCTTTCCTCTGGGAGTGAATAGGATGCCAACAGAAATATCTCAGACGTTAACTCAGCGAATAATCATTACTGTTGATAATTCCAAGTATTGTTTCCCTGTTACTCTCCTATTTTTTCACTTCCTACTTGGTATTAAAGACACCACTTCTGAAAGGAGCAGCTTCATTATCGCACTCTGCTTGTCGCAGTTTGGCGGTGATGGGAGAACCCATGTGCTTCCTCATCCCAGTGTCACTCTGTCAGGACAGAGCACCCTGCAACAGACACCTCCAGTTTCCTCATCTGCAGCCTGGGGGCAGACCTCCCTGGGGCCTCACATGACATTTGTTATTTGCTGTGTGACTTCTGTAGATGATGCATTTGCTCTTGCCTGAAGCAACTCTTTCTTGTACCTGTCAGTCTGCCCTCCCTGATATCAGGATTTCAACTGCATACTTGCCCATCTTCTTCAGCAACTTGTGAAGTTTTCAGCATTTGTAACATTTATTTGCTTTTTTACTAATTGAGGCATTATTTTTGGTGGCATAAAACCTTTTTTGGAACCATAACTCCTATGCTTTCAAACAGCTCAAGGTGCTGGCAGTCCTCTCCGATTACCAGCACGTAATTTTTTTTTAACTCAGAATTGTAGCTTAATCTTGTCCTGTAGTCAGCATTATTTTTTCTTTTGTGAGATGATTATCATTACATGTAGACCCCTTTTCTACATGCCTTTTTTATGGGCTTGGAACAAACACAGTTTTAGGTGACCGAACTCCCAGTTCTGCATACATATGCAGCTTTATGATATGCCTGTGATGTCTGCAGCTAGATACTCACATAAATCAGTGGGCTTTTTCCACTCACTTTAGGACAGTCGGCTTCAACTGTCAAAATCCCAACATAAACTGTAAAATGAGTACTCTTCAGTGAAAGTTTAACAGCCATGTCTGATGATTTAGGGTGCTTCTGTATACTTAGGGACAAAGAAAATAACTAGTATTCACTACATACCTTATAAAAGGTCGTGTCACAGCCAGAATTGTTCTTATAAACCACGATGGATGAACAATTATAAATGATTTTAAATTCTTCCGTAATCTAAGTAAAAAATAAACTTTTTTTTAGAAAAATCAAAACCCACAAAACATACAGAAAGATCACATACAGTGAACACTGCCATGCAAGGGAGCAAAAGAAATGGACAGTGTTTAAAATAATGGCTGTGGATCAGAAACGAAAATACTACTCACCGTCGATCAATCATCTGGTAACATTTTTTCATCCAACCCAGTCCAGGCATCCTCCTTCTTGGTGTTGCTCCATTCAAGTAGACAATCATATAGTCTTCAGCTACCATCAGCTCTAAGGTACTGATTACATAGCTGACAAAAGTAGAGAAGTGAGCACACACTTTACGTTATCTACTTAAGCCCACACTGAATCAGTCCACTAGGAATAAACCAATGTAGAGCAAGCAATTTATGACAAGAGGGCGTTTTATTTTCCTTTAAACCAAAGCAAATATTTAGCACTGATCACCATGCTGCCTGTAGAACTAGAAAACCACAATCTTATCTGCATCTTCAGAACTATCTGGTTTCCTTACAAGGGTACAGTTTCATAGTGAGTTTTCAAATCTCACAGGTGACTTTGCTTTTTCTTAAAAGGGTATCAAATAATGAGATTTTGCAAGGGAGAGCATGGCAGGACAATGTGAAGTTCCAGGAACTTGCTCAGAAACTTCTCTTCACTATTGCCATGTTTGTTCAATGCGAAAGTAATAAGGGTCAGGAGAAGATACTTGTGATCCTCATGCTGCTGCTACAGAGTCTGTGACTGCCAACTACAAACACTTTGAATCTCAAGGCTAGTAAAGCTTGTCCATCAACCTGCCTTCTGACAGGACACAGCACTCCATGCCATGACTTCATTTTGCGAGCATAACACTCCAAACACTCATTAAATTCCTCAGCTTGGCAAAGATAATTTAGACAGAACAGTGCTCTTGGGACCAAACTCAGTCTACCTAGAAGAGCACAGTACTCAGTCAAATGAACGCGTAGCTTTAAATTCTTGTCCGGGACTATGTATGCAGGTGCTCTGCTCAGTTTCAGTACTTCCCACTGAACTTTGGAGTTGTTAATCACAGTTCAAATTGTTCTCCCTTCTATCTATCCGCAAGGCATGTCTATGTAAAAACTACAGTGAAAAATCATGACTCACACCTTAAAAAGCACCTGAGGGTGCTTACTACAAAAGGTAGCTGTATCACTGAAGCATAATGGCCCCTTTCACAGGTATATGGGAATGACTCATGATCTAATCTGACCCTTAAATTCCTTAAAATGTAGTTTCTTTAAAAAAAGCAAACAGTCAATAGTAAAGAATTCACAAATATTTAAATATATATTATTGGATATTTTGTAAACTGCCCCTCTCCCTTTATTTCAATGCAATTAATAGGCCCACAAATGAAAGAAAGAGGTGATCTGCTTTTAAATTTTTCTTGTAATCTTACAGAGAACCAAGAGTCTATAACGCTTAAAATAAGCTAAAGGTTCACAGCCAACCTGAATGCGCTCTCAGTAAGTTATAAAATGGACTTTGTCAATATCGTCAAGTGATGTGGAAAAGTCTCTTAAGGTTTGCAAAGGCTTTCTCTGCTGAGTGCATTTACCTCCAGCTCTATCTAGGAACAACGGTCTTAGGTGAAGTCAAAGAACAACCATTTCATATCAGACACAGTTAATCTCAGTTTTGTTCCCTAGTTGTCAAGTTAAAACCACTGTAATAATTCCTTCCCTCTAAATCCCTGGGCATTGTGTAAATCAGTTACTGTAGATTACATGGGGGTCTTAGAGGCTCTACCAGACAAATGCTAACAGTTGGTCTGACCTGGAACTAAAGCACTCTTCTTTTTCACATGCAGACACAATGTTGAAGGCACTGGCTGTCCCCATGTGCATATTCAAGGTCTGGAGTTTTAAGGAGGCTGGGTCCACGCTCTTGATGCCTTGTAAGCTGCAAATGGTGAATACCAGGCCTCTACTGGCTTTAAAAATGACTACTGGGTTTTAGCATTAAAAATGTTGGAATGATGAATTTTTTTAACATCTGTAAGTGGAAGTATCTGGAAGCACTTCAAGGGAGTGCTGCCTTCAAAATTTTTGGCTGCCAAACCAAGTTAGGAGTCACTTTCCTGTGATAAATTTAGGTTCACATGGTCAAATTTGTGTCCTGCCCAACTGGCCCCTGCCACTTATAACCTAAACTGGAGTCAGGAAAAACACTTTAGAACTTTTTGTGTCAGCAATTGTCATTTATCCTGTATTTTTAGAAGAAGTGTCACAAAATGGTCCTGTGACTCCTAAATACAGCCACAGCATATATTAAAAATATGATATACAGTTGTGAAATATGTTCACATGATTTGTGTCAATATGAAACAATGAGGCCATATATAATGGGACGTCACCCTCTTTGTGAGGATGACCTTTGATTATTCTGATTGTCCTTGTATAATCGTGGGTAGTGGAATGGTATGTATATAGTTCATGTCCTGTTGCCAATTTAATGTTTTTAAGTTGTTAATTACACAGTGTTTAGTGTGAAGAGCTTGTGGGGAGGGTCTGGAAAGTTACTGGAAAGTTAATTACACAGTGTTAAGTAAGTGTGAAAAGCTTGTGGGGAGGGTCTGGAAAGTTATTGTAAGGTTAATTATACAGTGTTACTGGAACTTATTTGCATAGGCCTACCTCTTCATGAATATGTACAGACGTGAGGGATAAAAACTGGAAACAGGAAACATACCATGCGCGCCTTGGTAGAGCAGAGGCTCCCCTGCGTGCCCAGCGCTGTTTGCTTGCCTTTTATTTGTTTAATAAATTGCAAAATTTTATCTGAAATCCTGTTTGGGACTAAATCATTTATCACACAGTGATACATCGTGATAATATATAATGAACAATGAACAGTGAAAACCAGAATGGTTGCTGACCATTCTCAGCAAGGGTTGGAAATCATTAGTGAAACAGTGCCATGATTAGGCCCAAGGAGCTGAAGATACTGCATTCCTTGACATTTAGGGAGATCCTACAGTCAGATTTCGTCCTGAACAAATATGCATTAATTTGGGAGGGTGAGTAGGTAAAGAATACCAAAATAAAACTCCATGGAGCAGTTTATCTAAAACTGCTATTTTCCTTGTCATTCAGATCACTCCCCTTCTAATGACCAAAATTACCTCTTAATTAAAGAGAGGTTATCTCTTACTGCATAATTATGAGTACTAACTCAAAAGACTCTGTCACATTGCTCACATAGCACTCACAGGAAAAGATTTTCCATGACATAGTTGTAATCAGTTCGACTGCTGTCTGGCAAGAAGCATGCCGCAAACACAATGATAGCATTCAGGCCATCACCATAGTATCCTGTGGAAAAAACGAAAGGGCATTTTAATCTTTGTTGCAGGCTCTTAACAAGATAAAGTTAAAAAGAAATCTCAAAGTCCTGGAATAGAGTGATTAGATCTACTGCTGAAGAGACCAAAAATGTATGATCTACCATCAAGTGACAAGGAAGTGAGACAGTCAGTTATGTTGAATTCCTGAAAAACACACCACAACTATTAGTCAACTCTTTATAGAGACCAGCAAAAAACCTTATTCTACTTTGTAAGAAATACAATCTTATCTGGACTCCTGCTTCATTGCCTCTCTACAGCAATTGTGTGCTGAATGCTCACTTTAGACTGAGGAATAAGGGGCTAAAGAAAATATCCTACATTTGTTACCTTGCATCTTTTGAATGATGTTTCACAAGGTCTCACAATCCAAACTCAGTCGGCTGGTGCACATCCAATGGCCTCAAGATATTACAATTACGACTGCATCCCATTATACCTTAGAAGCTCCTAGTGACTGGTTAAATCCTTGGCTGCAAGCTTTGTATAAAATACTTTTTTACTTTGGACACTGGAGTTGTCCAACACTGGCATTCTCCTGGCTGCACCACTGCCTAACAAGAGCTGTAAACCCTCAGAGCTGCAGCACTACCATTCTGGGGTCCAGAACAGTTGCTTTTTACACAGAAGAATTTTTTTTTTTCCATGATGGATTAATGCTTGTTAATCTTCCCCACAATCCTTTGCAGATGCTACAGATTTCTGTATTATTAATAATTAATACAAAATACTCCTGCATTTCAGTTTAAAGTTTTGTTGAAAAGACACGTGCAATCAGGAGGCAATTTATAAAGATGCCATAGAAATGGTTGCAGGTAGATAGCACTAATGACACACAGAAATAGAAGCTGGATATATTTAGAGAATGACTTGAAAGCCTTTCAAAAGAGGCTAAGAGAAACTAACCATGAGGGAGAGACGATATTGTTTGTGAAGGAAACCCTGAAAACTCCCTCAGACATAGGAACACATTCCCAACAAAATTAAAGGATAATACCAGCACATATACAACACTTTCACAAGACAATTTAAAAACTTTTACAGAGTTCTTTGGATACTAGAGAGAAGTATCCAAGCCTAACTCAAGTGCTTGTAGAACTTCTTGCATTGTAGCCAGCTGAACAAAGCAAAATTCTCTAGGAAAAAAATCGATGTGTGCTAATCAGGGAAGAGTGAGCAACTAGTTTGTTTTCTCCCCTCTCACTCAACACCCAAGCTGAGTCTCAGCTAGCTGAAATAAGATGTTTACGTCAAGGAAGTAACTTCTTACATGGTTTTGTAGAGATCTTCAAAGAATTAAGAATCCTTGACAAAATGGGTGCTTCAAGGCACTTGCCCATGAAGTCTTCCATGCCAAGGAGAACCACACCTGATTAATCTCAACACCGTCCCAGTCCTAAGGACACGCACAGGGGTGCTCTTTGTTCAGGGCTCTCAGCTGTTCCTTAAAGGACAAGAAAACATCACTACTTCCCCAGTTACAAAGGGGAAGAAAAGAAGGATAAGTCTCAGAGAGAAAAATGTGCATGTCAGAAGGCTCCTGCCTCAAGCCATGCTGCTTCAAATCAACGCTTGGCAAAGCAACCTGCTGAAGGATTATGTTGGATTTTTTTCTTACTGAATTTGATTTGGTAGATTTGACTAAATATAATGCATTGGATGGATAAGCTAATAATACATACATGATAACATAATACATAAATGGTAATTTATGTATAATACATACATGGTAATGATGGTAACATAAACAATCAAGATGAGAATGCTAGCTAGGCTAGACCTCATCAACTGAAGAATAATTTGGACACCGCAGGAAGCTTTCTGTCCTTAGCCTTAACTCTATCCTTCCATGATCCCAGCATCTCTTGTCTTCCCAGCACTGTGCAGTAGCTTTCTTACTGGCTCTTACAGGCCAAAGGCCAGCTATCTACAGCTGGGCTTCCAGAGCTAGAGAAGCCACTGTACAACAGCCCAGCATATGTCCACTGTCTTCTCCAGTCCACACTGCAGTGTTGCCCTCCATCCTGTTGGAGGACATAGACAAGCAGAAGAGCTCAGGATTAGGGTTTGAGTTCAAGCCAAAGGGCAATGTGGATATAACCACTTTAAACCACGTGGCATAGCATAGTGTGTCATAGCTCCAGCTCATGTTAGGATCCAGTAAACATGAACAGCATATCTATAGATATAGGCATGGGTGACTGACTTTGGTATCCCAGTGAAGATGTCAAGGTCAAATCCAAAGAGTGGCATTGCATTGTCTAGCAAGGATGTACACAGGGAAGGGGAAGAAACTCCAGTTGTGTTTTCAGCACCTTCACCTTTTAAGAGTTTGACATGAAGGAATATAACAGTGTTCCCAAAAGAAACAATCCACCTCCCCCGATTTGTCACTTAACACTATTCTCTGTTATGTTTCCATCTTCTCAATAGACCCACATACTTTCAAAGAGACAGTACTCATGTCACCTATCCCATCCTAGCTCATCCCTCAGCTAAATCATTGTGCAATAAAGCAGTATTTTTTTCCGTCTCAGATTTACAAATAGGGAGGGAATTTCCTTCCTTACATAAATTTAAAAATCCTTAAAAGTCTATCAGGGTAATTTATATGATGCTGCCATAAAGCAATTTGCCCAGCTGTCTCAGGAGTTTGTCAGCGAGAGCACGTTGTGCACGTGTGTCCACTAAATTACACAGCACAGTTTGCACTTCATGTAAAGCCAAATGATTATGTGCAGATGCCACCTAATAGCACACAGATGAAAAACCCACAGATAAATCTAAGCCTCCTTTTCTTACCCATGCTTGTAGAGAAGGCTGTTCACACAAGGGAGACACGCTTTTTAATTCTTGACTAGAAGCCAGTAAAAGCCTTTTACCCAAGTTCTCAGTCAGCCTATGCAAAGAGACAGATCTCTGAGAAATTTCTCAGTCAACATATGTGGAAGGCAACCTCACACCTAGACTGCCAAGTCTACCCTACCTTTTCCTATTTTGTAGCCACCATCTGCACTTGGTGTTATCTGTCATTTGGCAGGGACAAATGTTCAGTAGATCATTGAATACTCAAGAGATGTTCAACCTGACTTCCAATTAACTAATTTTAGACAGAATCTGTTCTTAATCTTAAGGCTAAAGGAGAGACTCCTGTCCCTCTAAAACCTCCAAAGATACTGAAGTATTGCCAAAGAGAACATAATACATAATAGGCCTAGCCAACATACTGTGGAAACTGTTCAAGTTGTCCAAACTTTTCCCATGAGCCACACATCAAAATTATTTCATTTCCACATCTTCAGTCTGTCACTTCATAAACACAGAATTTAATCCAGTCCTTAATATGCTTTGTTATGGCTAGATTTCAGGCAAAATTTCCAATTTAGCCAGTGATGAGCAGAAACTTATCACTCCATCTCGCACTGTTTCTTTTACAATGGCTAAGTTACTGATCAGCACCCACTCAAAAGTAAAGGAAATGTAATGTTCTTTATCTTAGTTTTAAGTGATCTGAAAAAACAAGATGTCAGACAGGTAAAATCTGAATCCTGACTATTTCACACTGAGAACTGAGTGGAATGACCTAGACTCCCATCAATAACTTCACATTATTATGTACTTCATAGTTGCCATCAGAGATGTCTACCACTGGAACTAGTCCTTGTTCCACAGTCAAGCCGTGCTGCATTAAGAGCTACTTCTCCACTCACTAAAATGGATTGGTATTTATTTTTCATAAAAGCTGGTATAAATGTATACATCAGCATCTAGCAGGGAACCATACAGTTTTCACCAGAAATGTATCTAGACTAGTTTACAGCATAAAAAAACCCATATAAATAAACACCATTAGCAAGGCCTCAAAATATTTTATGTTTGTTTCCTAAATTATGCCATCTGTGTCTGTTTGCTAAACTGTGTCTGAGGTGTCATCACGTTCATAAATCTTTGATGGTGTTATAGTGGGAAAATGCCTGGAGGTTTAAATGCCTTTATTAATTCCAACTAAACCTTCTGCACACTGGCCACTGTGGACATCTGCAGGCTAGCATTTAGCTGATTTTAGTGTAAAAGTGCAAATTTGAGGACCACATCCTCAGGAAATATAGTTCAGTATAATTTATTTATGTCACTTTTACTAGATAGAGATTCAACACTGAAAGTATACTGGAAACAATGGTTTACCTTTAAATGATGTTACAGATCTGCAACATCATGACAGAAGTATTCTCATACAAACTCACAAGTCTTACCTGTGAGATGCTAAGTTACCTGCCTCCGTTTTTGCAGGAATAGAACAACTCATCCTTACTTAATACCTTACTTAACAGCTGGCAAACAGTGTCCCTCAAACATAGAGAATCCAAACATAATTTAAACCTGAGACACCACGGAAAAGACACTTTAAAAGCTTTGTTTCATTTTCTTCCTTCAATATCTGTAGTAATATTTAACCATTTGAATTAATTTATATAGAATTGTGTTAGTAACACCAGAACTAGAAATTCCCTGGGGAAGTTAGGGAGCAGATGAGCAAAGGAGACAATATACCAAGCACATTAGGTCATTTTTCTACTTTAAATATTTTCTCTGATACTCTATTTGATAATCATTACCAAATTATGTGAAAAAAAAAACCATAAACCAGTTGCTGGTGAAATGCCATCTGATTACAACTATAAATGACAGAAAAATAACATCAGGAGCTTAGCCAGATGAAAGGAAGCCTCAGGGAAATTTTTTTTTTTTTACTTTTGCCACTCCACTTGTTTAGCTCAGTGCACCCACATAGACCATTCAACAAATCACAGAGCACTATTCTTCCTCATGCAAAATTTTTTTTTCCAAAATACACAGAATAAAGTTTTTATTTTTTTTTCTGTAGGACAAAAGGTTTTTTCTTACTGTAAGACAGTTTTAGCCCAAAATAACCAGATTGTTACAGACACATGTATGTCAGTTTATTTGTTACTCTTGAAATTGCTTTGTATATAAAATACCCATTAGTCATTGCCACACTGAATTGAAAGCTGGGTTGATTTCAGCCATGGCTGAAAAACAAACTCTCTCCCCTTGCCAGTATGATAACTGAACTAAAATCATACTCAATAAAGCATTAATTCTTTACATCAATCTAAAAAAGGTATCCAGAGTTTTCCTACCTCCATGTGAAATGACCTTTTTGTAAGGTTCAATCACTTTCATATCAATTCTTTGTTCTTGTTCTCCAATAACCACCGTTCTCCATAACCTGTTGTCCTCCCGCTCCTCTTCAGCAGTGTACTCTGGAATTGATTCAGACTCCTCCTGTGAAGCATCCTTATTAGCATTCTGCTCTTCTGAAAAATAAAATTGTGTATTTTACATCTTCCTGTAAAAGCTCTAAATATTTTCTCTGTTACATACATTTGAAATCGATGACTGAAATCAACTGGATTTTTACAGCACTGTCTTGGATCTGCACTGGTATAAATAAGAGCAGAATTTGATCATCTAACAGTAAATGAGAAGTTTCCATTTTCTTAAACTCTTCATCATTATGAACATAAAAAGAACAGCAGCAATTATCACTATGCAGAGTACCACCAAGAGATTTTTACATTTTTGCATCCAGTTAGTAAAACTGATCAGCTGCTCACTAGAGGTACTGCACTGTAAGTCTTTAAAGATCTTTTTGTTCCAGGTATGAGAACTATACTAAAAAGCAATATAGAGAACTAAAAGTGAATGCATCAATACATCCCTGGAGGTGTTCAAGGCCAGTCTGGATGAGGCTTTGAGCAACCTCGTCTAGTAGGAGGTGTCCCTGCCCATGGCAGGGGGGTTGGAATTCCATGATCTCTAAGGTCCTTTCCAACCCAAACCATTCTACGATTCTATGATTCTATGAATACTTCTTGTCTAGAAAGGAATTACCACAGAGCTAGAGCTTCTCAGCTTTTTCCCAGTTTGTTTCCAGTCTCTTTGCATCTAGCACCAGCAAATATGAAGAATGTCCATCTTCCTCGGCTTCAGTCATGAGATAATGTTGACTCCTCACATACCTTAAGCATAGTATTGGCTTCCCTTAGGTACTTTCAGTTGAAGTTAAATATCAGTTCACTCCCAGAATTGAACTACAGAGCAGCTAGGCAATGTGGCCTGTTCATGTCAGCACCCGTGAGAGAACAGCTACACGTAGTCCACAGATACAATGATGACAAAAAAATTGCATGGCTGACAAGAGACTATGAAGTCTCATAGCACAGCCTCTCTGCTGGATACTCTTGCTTTCAGAAAAGCTGTGAAGTAATTAACAAAATCTACATTTCCATTGCACATTGATGAGATGGCTCTTAACAACAAATTTAACTGCATTCCAGTTTTTCAAACTTAATGGCCAGTTACAGAGAAAGTGACATGAAAAGTGATTCTGTCCACAGTTGGAGTTACTTAATTTCCTCTTTTAGTTATTGTTACAATAAACTGGTTTTTTTCCATGAAAAAAAGAAATCCCTCTTTTGTACTATTATTCTTGCTTAGGCACCTTTATCTTGGTGCTGCATGCATAGTATTGATTTATCCTCATAGTAAAGATTCTATACATTTTATGCATTACACATATTTGAAGTAAACAAATAAAATCAACTGAAGATCAAGTTCCTCAAAACACACACAAAAAGCTTTTAACTTTAAAAAATATATATATATTAGGCTGAGCACCCATTTGTTGTTAAGTAGAACCTATCTTAGATTTTCTGTCCCTAATACAAATTATCATTATTATTATTATTATTATTATACTGATGGAATGTTCCCCTCTCTGAGGCAGATTCTCCCATGTGCAACAAAAGCTGAGTCTATAATCAATTTTTTTCTTTACCTAATTCCTGCCTGCTGGAATCTTGCAAGAAAGCAGTAGTATTTCACCTCCTACCTCACTGTCTAACCAGCCAATGAGTTAAAAACATATTCAAGTAAAATTGTATTAATAGTGGAAACAGGGAGGGAAGATCAAGAAATATATACATGTACACATATAATGTGACCACATAAGCCTTTTTTCCTTAGGAAATGCAAATAAAGGTACTTTGAGGAGATCTAAGGTTGAGAAGAACAGACTGCAAAAGGTGATTTTTTTCAAGTATACTACATCAAATTGTTTAACAGTTGCTGCTCAGTAGATTATATGTTGTGGAACCAACATACATATTCATACCTTTTCAGGGTACATTGCTCAGGATGTTTAATAATGTACTTAGCATTCAGTTTTGAAATATCACATATTCCATGACACTGGGAACATGCTTACAAAATAAGTAACCCCACTCCCTCCAAACCTGGATATCTTAATTTTGCATGATGGTAATCTTGTAAAGGTACCATGTGAAACAATACGGAAACTATGTGCATGCAGTCAAGCTATGCAAACTTGGACAGGTCATCACTGGGTGGTCCATTCCTCTAAGGATATAGGGTCCCCACAGGATGCTATTATGCAGCTCCAGTACTTTCAGAGTAGATGGAACTAGCAGGACAACTGCTAGGACAACTGTCTAGTGAGCTGGTTCCTCAGAGGGTGGAAAGAGCATGGCTAAGGGTAAGAACTGTAGCTGGCAGAACAGCTTTAGTGAAAAGGGGGCTTGGCTAAGTAACTGTCAGACTAAGGCTGAAGTTGTATTTGGGGTTTGATAATTTTTTTTTGGTGGTGAAACTGCAAATGATGAAAAACCATGAAAAGAGATCCTGATAAAACTTACAATGCTTGAACTGGACAAATGAATTATTTTTTATAGAAATGGTACTAGATCATCTCCTCTTGAAGAACTGGCTATGCTTTACTGCTTGGTGTGTTGATTTTGCAGAGAAAGATGCACCAGTGTGAAATTCATAAAGGAAATAAACACCTGCAGAGAAAATAATAAATACTCCTTTGCATTCCAAATTATGCTGATCTAAGGGAAGGCCTTTAGCTATAGGCACATACGGTTTTTAGAAATTAAATTTTGATGTCATCTAATGTAATAATCATAAAAAGCTTCTTTCAGAAACAAGACCATGTTCTGAAAGAAAATGATCAAATGCAAGATATTAGTGATGAAAAAAAACCCTCTGAAACTGATGATCGACCAATAAGGTGCTAGTTTAAGACGGGTATTTCGGTATTTCTGTTCTCATCTATCTTCTTGCACATTGCAGTTGGGATGATTCTTCTTCATCATTCTTTCAAACACAGGTTTCTTGTACTACCAAGGCATCAGTTTTCCAGTGATGAGGTGGACACCTGAATCATGACCCCTGAATCATGACAATGGTCTTGCTTTTCTCAGTCACCTTTTACGGTTCAAATGGACCTTCAGCAGTCTGAGCATGACAAGCTAAAAGTAACTGATTTCTACAGTCTCAACAGCTATTTCTTCTCAATATTTACTTAGGTTTGGCACAACAGTTTAGAAACATTGATCTGTGGGAGATTATGAGTACTGGTAACAGTAGAGGACATACTGGTTAACAGTAGAGTGACAGCAGTACAAAGATAACAAAGGCTATTTACCATGCAAATAAACCATTGTGCACTAGCTCTTATGACTATACCCTTAGCTATCAGATTCATGTAATATATAGCTTACTTATTTTATTACCAGCTTAATTTGATAAAATGTGATTTTTTTTCATTTTCTACTCTATGTTTCTGGGTCATCTAAGTGGAGGACATTTTCCTGGGTAAGTATGTCAAAAATCAAACTACACGAGTAGACATGTCACCAAAACCATAGGCACTTTGAGTTCTTCACTTAGGGGCTTGGGGAAACTGGTCCAACCTTAGCAGTTGAATAAATCATCACATTTAGAAAGCAACAAAAAAAGCTGGGAGAAAAGCTTGCCATAAATAAAACTGCCAACAAAATCACTGGAGTTGAATTTATTTACTTGAGGGCTTAAAGGCAAAATCTGTTCCACTGCAGACAGAGATTTCTGCTCTCACAGTAGTCACAAGAGTCTAAAACTGCAAGGACACACTGCTGTGTGTGTGAGCACACGTGTGTGTTAGTTTTAACCTTTGCTACAAAATATTCTACCCATCAAGCAACTCACTGCTCTGCATCTACCCATAAGGAAATAGGCCTTCTAATGAGAAGTGACATTAGAGATGGTCATGCATGATTGAGTACACAGTAATGCCTCTTCAGCAATATCACTTAAACTAATGCAACTGTTTTTGTGTGCTCAAAAAGAGCATACAATTTTGAAATTATAGTGGCCTCACTAGCAACAAAGAATTTAAATGCCAGGGAACATTCCATTCAAATAGATCAATTTTTAAAGTTTTTTTCTGTTGCTGACTTTAAAATGGTCACATTTTCCCCTCAAATAGCCTATGATCTTTATGTAATTACATTAATGAATACAATTCTTACATGGTTCTTAAGGTACTAGCAAGGAATGAGTGTTACCACCCTAATTTGTACATCATTAGGGTAAGTAAAGTAAGACAGTGCAAAACAGTTTTACACCACATGACAGAAAATCCATAATATGCAAACAAAGATTGAAGTATCCATCGTACACGTCAGTGTGTATCTATACTGTACAATTAGCCCTGCTGAGAAAGCATATTTAAATTGGTGGAATGAGGAACTCTGTTGTTTCATCACCTGAACTAGCTTTATCGTGCCATGCACACACCTTCCATGTCTCAGCTCTCCCGCCATACATGGAATAAAAACACAACTCTCTCACTAACAAAAGTCCTCTCTCACCATGCTGTGACTACTTCATTTACACTCTGCAAGTTCTTGGTGCAGCTTCTGTCAGCCAACATATTTTGCATAAGGTTACCTCCCTAAGTACTGCTGATGTAACTGTAACTTACAGCTGGCCAAAGGTGCAGTTAGCTATAGTGTTCTCTACAAAAGACAACAACTGCTTTCGCCTTCTTGAACAACTGTTTTCAGGCAAGTCCTATGGTACTAGACAAAGACAGGACTTTGATTCTCTCTAAGTAGCTCTTCTCATTTTATTTGAACAGCTGTACTACTTCTTTCTGTACTCTGCATAGGTAGAAATGTAGTGCCTTACACAGGGGAAGAAAGGTTAAAACATAGAAGACAGTAAAAATACCTGGACACAGTGTTAACCCTCAAATGCTTTAACCACATTCATACCCTGACAGATACGAGACCGATCATGCAAGCAGTAAAGAAAGAGACAGAGATGAACTCTGCATTTATGACATTACCTTGTCCCATGTATTCAAAAGAGTCTGCTTCATCAGGAGTGTCAAGGTCATCCACATTGATGTCAATTTCATCTGGCGTATCCAAATTATCATCAGAAAGTAGAGACCCTTCACTCTGGTCCAAAGAGAGATTGATATTTGGAGCAGTGAGCTTTATCCTTCTGGGATGGGAACCGTTAAGATCAAGAGAATTGGGAGGTTCTGAAAAAAGTGAAAGAAAAAAATAGCTTTACCTCCTCCACATAGAATTCATCTCCCAGATACTTAAGAATCACCTTCAAACATGCTGGGACAGATCAATTTTAGTAATTCCAAGCCATTTAAGACCACCTAACATAAAACACAACTATGTTTAAAGAAATAAAATAAGCATCTACAAGAATGGCAGATGTAGCTGGGAGCTCTCAAATTATGCAAAATCCAGATTCACTTTTTTTGGAATCGTGAGACGAAAATCAAGCTTTGGACATGCTCTGACCCACAATGTTTAAGAATTCAAAGAGCAATATACAAATCATTTGAGTTACGAAACAAGACATTGCTGAATCCTGAATAAATTCATATGAGTGAAAATGCCCTGTAAATGCTTGTTTTCTTATGTGCCTGCTATTCAAATAGTGCTGATTTGCAAAGCAGCTATGTCTTTAGTTTTAACCATATAATATCTTATTCAATACAGTAACAAAAAAAAAAAAAAACCCGAGTCTCTTAATCTGAAAAGTAGTCTTCAACAAGACAAAACTTAGGTACAGCTTTGTTCCTTGCCACTGCATTGTGGGGCACATCTCGAGCTGATCTGTCTGAAGTATTCTAATTCTAACTTAGTTCACTTAGACAGTAGTCAAATATAAGATGAATAATAGATACTACTTAAACTTCACAAGGACTAAACAAATGATGACAACAATGCACAAGAGAAAATAGCACGCTGTAATTACTATTTCTCAACTAAAAAAGAAAATTGACCTAATAAATGAAACTTAACATTTTTGCTTTTTAACACTGAACTGATTCATTACCAGCACAGAAACATCCCTCTCACTGCATAATTAAATGGCAAGGGAATAAGGTATAATTAAGCAAATAAGTAAGAGCTTCTCTCACCAGGTCTCATCTCTGTAGAACTGGGGCTTAATATACCCTCAGCAAAGGGGATGTCCATTCCCACATCCTCTTGTACCAACCTGAGAGATAAAATACAAAGTGAAATCTTACAGAGATACACAGGCTGACCTTCTTATCAATGCAGCTCATGAAATATTTCTCAACATAGCCAGTTCAGAAGTCTGATTACAAATTGATGTGAGAAACAAACACAGCTGCTGTAATTCTACTGTGCAGTTCTCACCCTTATTTATGAACGTGTCCATAGAGCCTTTGGAGACTACAGGTCACACATAGCCACTTTTACTTCAATCAAGACATAGCACTGAATAATAACAAGCTGGCAAGAAGCAATGCTTCTCATCTTATACAAATGAAGTTGGTCTTTTGTCATCTGTCAAACCAGACACATCACTGCAGGGAGCTTCAGCTACTCTTTGCAAACTGCATGCCATAGTTAAGAGTTCCATGACAGTATTTTCACTGCTGTACATACAGTTATGGTATAGCAAAAATAAAGTCATGACTGGGTTTTTTCATTCTTTTGTACCAATGCATCCATCAATTTCATTTATTTGTATGAATTCTGATACAAATCAGTCATTTTTGGTAATACTGAAACAGTTGATGACTTGCATTAAGAGAGTACAGGAAGCACAAAAGTGAGAACCAAAACTACATCACAGATTTGCAAAATATACTACCTAGACTCCATTTTTAGGAAGATACTAAGAAATCACATTTAACATAACTATGTAAGATAAGTAAAAGGCATTAAGTGGTGAAAATAATAATGAAGGTGTTTGAAAGTTTAAATCAAATTGACTTGAACTGTTTTCATGTTTTTTATTCAAGTATTTTACAAAATGTTTGGTGGAAGGACGGTTCAGTTGAAGATAGGAAACAACATTTTCCATTTTCAGGACATTCTTGACAGGTCACAAACTATTTGCACTAAAAATGTATGACTCCATGTAACAGTTCACACAACACAGCCACTTGCTCCCCCTTCTCCCTCCCCATCTTCCAGGGATGGGAGAGAGAATTAAAGGGGCAAAGGGAGAGATTTGTGGGCTCAGATAAGAACAATTAAATAACTAAACTACAATAATATTGGAAATAATAATGATGATGATAATAATAATAATATATACAAATACACAAATGAGTGATGCACAGTGATACTGCTCATCACCATGACCAAGGCTCAGCCCATTCCCAGCTAAAGATCTTGGAGCAGGGAGAGTCCTGAAGCTGCAACCCCAGAATGGAGATCAGTGCCTGAGTGTCCAAGAGACCGAGGTTACCCTGATAGAGGAATGACCTGGAGGGAAACAACCCAGAGCAAGAGAGCACTTCCAGAGAAGACCCTCATCTATATACTGGGCATGATGTCCATGACATGGCATGTAGTAATGGCCAATTTGGGTCTCAGTGCTAAACCTAAGATCAAACGCTAGGCCAGTAATTGGGGCTGTGCTTCCTCCCAGCTTCTCCTGCACCTGCAGACACTGGCACAGCAGAGAAGCTGAAAAGTCCTTGACTGTCCTGGCAACAACTATAAACATCAGTGTGTTATCAGCCTTCTCCCCAGCACAAATGCAAAATATAGCTTCTTACTAGCTACTATGAAAAAAGTTAACTCTGCCTCAGCTGAAACCAGGATAGTCCAAAAAGCTTCATTTATTTTATAAGAATAATTATAGAATTTTTCCCCTATATTTCTGTTACAAACTCTACTTTTAAAAAATAATTTATTTTTTTCACAAAAGCTGAAGAACAGACAATTTTTACACCTTGATTAACAGACAAATGATGAGAGCAAAGGAGGTAATTTTCCCTGACACAGCATCAGCTATCTTTGTTCTGATGATTCAGCTCAATGGGTCTGAACGGGCTTGACTCGTCGTCGCTCCTGCAGTTTTCTCCTGCCCTCGCTTTCCCCATGAGGACTACCCTCCTTATTTTACTGTGTGCAGACAAGACTCTTATAGTCATCACAGTGCGAGTACAGGTTCTGTGATTTCTTTTTAATTTCATACATATTATATATAAAAGCATACATACAGGCCTGCCTGTAAGTGAGCCAAAGGCTTCACTGTTCTTAAAGTTCCAAAAGATCTTTACCTTAAGCCCCATACAAACAAATTCCCAATACAGACAGGCAAACTAGTGAACTCCCACTTTTCCCATGTGGCCATAGAGAATTCAGACAATATAAAGCTAGGGTCAAATATGTTTGTGCTGCTCAACTCATGTCCAGACCTTGTCTCTCAATAAAAACAGATGTATATTAATCTTGCTAAATTTACTAGATTTATCCCCACATACTGTAGAGTCTTTCACAAATACAGAGACTAACTGCTTAATGATTTCTACAAAACATGCCAATTCAGGAATTTGTTTAATATCTGTCAAAAAAGGCTTGAAATATTCTTTCTCTTTGGATATACAACAGAAAAGTAAAGAAATTTGATCAAAGTACCCTGCTTGTGAATAAAATGAATGGTACAAACTGTCTGTCCTTTATTTCTGCTCTGCAGCATCATTTGTGTTCAGACACCGTACAAAATACAATTCACTTAGAAAATGTAGATAAGTCATTAGAGTGGCTTTTTTTGGTGTCTGTTCAATTCATAGTAAAATATGTGTAATGAAGTCTAATTTATTCATCTGAACTTAGCAGAGACAAATCTGAATTCTAATGAAGCGCAGTAATAGCTGGATAAGGTAAGAAAAATGAAAACAGTGTGGGGAGTGGATGAATACTTCTAACCCATTATAAATTCACATTAAGATTTAATCTGGGGCATTACTAACCTTTCCAAATATAAAACTATGAAAGGTTCTTAGATTAAAGCAGATGAGGAGTACCCAGATAATGACTTATGGGTACTCAAGGGTGTATAGTTTGGCTGGACAGAACAGGGTGTTGATTCTTACATATAAAACATTCATTTATAAAATCTCTTACAGCCTTATCACTCCAAATGACAATTCCTTACTGAACAAGCTTCAGAAATCACTGCAGGAAATTATTCGAAAGGAAATGCCTTTCTTTCAAGTTGTGTGAAGAGCAAGCTACAGGAGGACAGGGAATCTTCAGACTTTCTGTATTAGAAAGAGACAGTATTCTCTACAGTAAACCTGTAAGAATGTTTGAGGAGAATGAAGATCATCTTCTCCTTATAGAGAGTTTTGTACACTCTATCCCTACAGAAACAGTCATAATTATAATCTGAAAAAAAGCAATTTCCCACAAGTAATTTATTCAGAATTTTGAGAGTTGCCTAAAGTTTTTGCAATGCCTGGGACAGAATTATCCCAAGTCATTACATTTCTAGGATTGCCTCAAGACTGCTTTTCTACCTGTGGCATCTTTTTTTTTAAAAAAATGCTTATCTACTTGGAGCTGGCATTGCTGCTTTCTCTAGAATCTCTTACACTTTAACGACATAAATTTCAAATGTTTTTCTGCTTTCAGTGGGACCACTATGGCTGAGTTAAACTAGAATTTTATATTACAGTTGTGTTTACAAGAATGGCACATTTCTAGGGGATTGAAAGATAAATGTATTTCATATTCTTTTGTCTCAATTTCTACTGAAATACAGCTACTGCTACAGGCAATATATTCAAAAAGTATCCCTCACTTAGGGATTACAAGTAAACAGAAACAGAATTAGTTTGAGAATCTCTAACTTTATTTTGATGGCACAGTGTTTTTAATGTCAATAATCCATATTGTTCATACCGGGATATTTGATTTGGGAAGAAAAAGTCTGCGGTCCTGAAAGATCTGGGACAAGGCAGGCAGCCAAAAATCAGTTCAAGCCAAGTTACCAAAAGCATTGCTGATACAAGGTCATGTACTGTATTTTAAATCACATAAAAGATGGTATCATCTTTCAGAAATTTTTTAGCTGAGATTAGATTTCCTCTTTCTCTAAACTGTGTCAGGTTCTCATTTACTACCAAATAAACAGTCAACAGGCTTTTTGGAGAAGAGGGTGTGCCCCTGGAGTTAGTAATATTTTTCCAGATCCCTTGTGCTTTACCCAAATAGATTAAAGATTCCCTACCAGATGTACATACTCTATGTTCAGTGAAAGTTTATATTTTTTAAAAGCTATAGTTAATGTTTCTTCAGTCATAAACTCATAGGCAACACAGGCATCTTTCAAATCTGGTGGGTTTAGAAATCCAGTCACAGAGCATGGCTTCTGTGACATTGTACCTCAACATATGGCTCCAGACTCCTCATCAGTGTGAGAATGAGCAAGATATGGACGAAGTTCGTTTTCAAAAGACATAGCTCCCATTTTCTAATGGATTTTGAGAGTATGCTATACTGAGCAGCTCAACAACTTGCAGAGTAATTTCTGTCTGTGTACAAACTCTCAAGAGATCGCAGCAGGAACCCTAGTAATGGAAGACGGACTCCAGACACTTCAACTACCTCCTCTTCCTTTCCCACAGACTACTTCACATACTTCCAAAACTCCGGCTTACAAAATTCCTTGTCTTCCATACAGGTGCAACTGCTGCCATCGATAATGTGCCCAAAAGTATTAGAAAAAGAAAACACATTTTTTTTTTCCTTTTAATGAAAGCTCCTTGTTGAAGACGTAAATTAAGTTACTTTAGAAAGCTCCATTCTAACCAGGTATGATTTACTGGATTGATAAAAAACAGGCTCTTTCACTCAGAACAGAGGTCAAAGTCAAATAAGCTTTTTGTGTCATAAATGACTTCTTTTATGTGGTACACAGACCAGTCATTTAAGGATCAGCTGCACTGGGAATCAAGTTACTGCATATTTGCTTTGATAATTCAGGTCTACATACTCGTTCAGAAGTAGCTAAAAACTCTCTGTTTCTCAAAGGTGGATCAGAGACATACCAAATTCTTATGAAAGGAGAGAGAGTCTGGAGGCTGAAATACTTTCCTTGCTCTTTCTTAGTTCAGACATTCTTACAGCTCAACAAATTAATAATCTTTAAATAATTCTTAGTGCCCTCTCAAATCAGTATTTCTCAGAATAAAAGTTATCCTTCC